CAAACATGAACTCAACTGCTTTTTATATACATCTTGAGTGACAGGTGAGTATTTCACACCCTTTACTTCAACAAAGTCTCGTACAATCTGTCACAGCAATGCTTTAATAAATGTTAAACAGGTGACAGACACGTAGAAGCCAACTCATGTTAACCACGCTTCTCAAACGAGGCTAGTCAAAGCCTGTCGGAGTGGTAACATTTTGAAAACATATCACTTAACGTTTAATCATTCAACTATCCATCAGTAAGGCAGAACCATCAGCCACTTTGCAATGGGAACTATAGGAAATCACTACAGTATGACCTATTCATATGAGGCAGCAACAATTTATAATTTGACCGTGGCTTCCTAAACATTTTCTGACACTGAAAAAAGGGCAGGCTGCTGTGTGATTACCCACTGCAAGGACTTCTGTGTCCTCCTTTCATACATAGGATATAGGACACAGTGTAAGGACAAGGCGCTGTTTTAGATGGCTAACTGCTTTCCCACTATGACAGAATTCAAATACTTGGCATGTTTCAATTGTGCTCATCATTAGTTTTTTGCTGCTATTATGTTTTCATTTATGTATTTACTCCTCGTTTTATATACTTAAGTACCTCAGAGAAGGAGTGAACCTCAAGGAACACACACTGCAAAAGTCAGCACAGAACCCAATCCAATACACACCACAGGAAAAAATTCTGAATGCTTTGGCCCCATCTCTAAAAGAAAGTTCAAGTTTCAGATCTCTGACAGATGTTAGTACTCCTTTCACATTTCATGTTCAAACCTGTACTTTGAAAATTTGTCTCAGCTTTGCCACAGGCTTTAGTAGCCAGATCTGGGCACTGTTGACCAGATAGAGTGGACTCAGATGTGCCACCGCATCTGGATTACAGAGCTGTCTGCCCCATGTGCCAGACACTGATGAAGTACAACATATCCATGCTTTAGTGGTCCTTTAACCACAAAGCCTGTTCTTGTGATTGCAATTAATAGTGAAGAGGAGCAGGAATCTTTCTGTGCATCCAGGAGTCATTTTTCCAACCTGGCTTCCTAAGGAATGAAGCTGACGTGATAACACTTTGCTTGTTTGTGTGCATCCCACCATAACTTCTGAGCCCTCTGGTCAATTCTGAACAAACTTAACAGACTGAAAGAAATTTGCAGTAAGTAAGTTGCATGGACATGAACAGTCAGGTAGAGGAAAACAGATATATAAATGTCTCCAGTTAGGAGAGGATTGCAGCTTGAACTCAAATTTTGTTAGACAATATAAAAACTATCTCATAGAGAGCAAGTATGAACGTCTCAAGAATGGGAAATACTTCATTCGGAACATGCACCTATTACAGGTCATTTAATTGCAATGTGAGACAGAAACCATCATCAATTAGTAATGCTGCTCCCTGAACTACTGATGTTTACCTGTCAGTGAAAATCTTCTTATCAAGTCTATAGCATCATTTGTGGTACTAGACTTCATGTGGGGAACTGACTGTTTTAAATTGCTTATTGTAAATATTTTATATTGCTCTCAACCTGATAGCACAGTGACAGGGAATGCTAGGCATTCGGGATACCCTGGAGGGGCAAAAATAAATGATAGCTCTCACCCCAGTGCTGCCCTTTGAAGGGACCCTAGTTAGCCAGATAATGCTATGGGACAATTATGGTTAAATCCCGAGGGAGCTTTCGGAGTGTCATCCACAGGAGCCTTGCTGAGAGCAGAAGTAATTAGTTCCAGCTGAGCACACAGGCACATAACTTTAGAAAGGTCTGGCTCCTTTCACGCTAGGAGAGAAAAGGCATTTCTGTCTAGCAGCCAGGACAACACACTCTGGGAACAGGAGAATGGCCTTCTTTGTTTGTTTGGTGTCCAGCTAGGTGTGTGTTTGGGAGCCGCAGGATGGAATTGCATTCACTGCCTGTGAGAATTATGGGTTTCTGTTCACTGGGTAGCTGAAAAATTCCCATAAAATAGTATGCAGAAGTGTCTCTGCTTCACGGGGGAGTCCTCCGAGGTCACTGTTCAGCAGTCCGAGACTTGGCCTTCCTACAGGTCTTCACAGTGTGCTAGACAGTTCCCAGGGACATACGTAAAGCTCTCTCTTGGGAGGCTTTCCTAAAACATCTAATCTAAACACCGGTATTGCTGCACTTTTATGTATATCTTTGTGTGTTCTGGCACCTGATAAAAATTCCATTATTTTCAGCGAGTGAGTGTCACCTGGCGATACCACAGCTTCCTCTGAGGAAGTGCTTTTGCAGAGTTCATCCTTAGGTTATATGTGGGCTATTCTTCCCCCCCCCAAAAAAAAACCTCCAGGAAAGACATCTGAAAAACTCCACTCTTGTGCATGTCGTTTGGATTTCTTCCCACTACAGAAGGTACTAGCTAAAGCCCAGCTGTTCTCGGAGAAGTGATGGCTCAGCAGCTGAACTCCTGTTGTGTGGAGAACAGTAAAAGCACGAAACAAATGCCAAGTATTGATGGAGCAGCTACAGGTTCATTGTTAGAAGGACCACTAGTGACTACTAAATGCCATCAGATGGTTAAGGACAGCCAGTTACGGTTTAATGGCGCCTCTCGGGGTCCTGGGAAACTAACTCGTAAAAAGCATCAGAGGCCCACTATGTCGCTTTGTTTTTTAACTAGCCACAAAGGCATTTAACTGAGCATGCCAGAGAGTGGGCTTTCTGATACAAATGGATCTGGCTGAGCAAGACACACTTGCTGCAGCCTCTCTAAGGGAGAGAATAATTTAATCTTCCTGGCTGCTCGGCCCTTGGTGTAGATTAAGACCGATACTTTTTCTGCAGTCACAGTGGGGTCCTGCAATTTACTGCAAGCTTCTAAAAACTTTATATATCTACATTCACTGCACACGGGTTATCCAATGATAACCACCTTAATCACTAGTGCTGCGCTGAGGTTCAAACCTGTGGTGAAATGGCAGTGCTTTCTGGATCAGCGTGATCCTCAGTGGAAGGATTCTACTTTTTTAATATTTAAATTTAGTGTCTGTTCTTAAGAGATTTACTAAGCACTGTGACAATTTTGTAATATAGAGTCAACCAAGATCATTTCTTGCATACTTTAAACCCATATTTAACTATAATTAAGCTGCAAAAGTTGCCCTGTTAATAGCATTGTGGATAGTGTGTGAGAGACACTGTTTTTAAAGAGATCTTTTGGCTCTTACTTATGCCCATTCTGCTTGGGACAATGGTGGAAGAAATACTCAATTCTCTGCTCACGGATCCATTCATGCAAGCGTACCACATGAGACAGAAGTAGTACTTCTTTCTAACGCTAATGGAATAGCCCGTCAAACCTTGCTTTGCAGCTCTTTTTGGTAGAGTATGAAAAAGGCTGCCGGCTTCTGCAGATTTGATGACATTGACATGCTTCCCTACCACAAACCTTTCTAATATGTTGAACAGTTTGAACTAAACCTTCATCCATGGCTTCCCAAGCGCAAGGGAAGCCATCAGCGTACTCACTGAGCGGGCTGCCACGTGCCTTAGTGACAGGAACAAAAGCAGCGATGTGCGTAGCACAGACCGAGCGTGTTCAATGGACTAGCCCATGCTAGCACCTAACGCCAGCGCAGGCCTCACCTGCCGCTTCTGGGAGAGCCAGCATCCATCTCTCCTGGACTTGGGGCGCTCCTTCGAGAGCACAAATCACTCCCTATCCCTCAGTGCCCTGCCAGCCACCAGAGGGCATTTTATAGCTACGTCTCTGTTAAGCTGAATAATTCGTTGACTACTGTAAAGGCAACCACTATTTTTTCCTCTTCCTTTCTTTCTTTTCCTCAGAGTGCCTAAAACAGGCCTGACAAAAAAAAAGGACTGTACAATCTTGGTCACAAATGGTCAGTTTTATGCTCTGGGTAAAGCACAAAGGACTCTCAAAACCATGTCCTTGCACCCGCTGCTCATTAGAAAGCACAGCCTGAACGCAGGGTCCTTTCCAATCTGGGAATTCTGGGAAGCACTGCTGAGGCTGGAGGCAGTACCTGCTGAAGACCTCTCCATGGGAAAGGGTGGTGAGGGCACATGTCAATGCAGTTGACTCAAAAGTGCCCCCCAAAGTGGTCAGATGATAGCTCCTAGTTAGAGTCAGTGTTGGGTGAGCATCTATAGCCAAGCTCTCCACTTGGCTCAAGGACTGAAGACGTTTCTTGGGATGTAAAAGTCTAGACTGTCTGTGTTAAACACTTTTTTGGTGCCCTCTTCTCATCACTTGTATGCTTATATAAAAATGCCTAAAATTTATGTGCTAATTTCTTCACCTTCCAAGCAACACATCAAAGCCATTTCGCATACACACATTTTTAGCTAAGATTACCATGTTTTTAACTCATTAAAATGTAACTGCTCTTGTCCTCAGTCTAGCTATAGCAGTTGAAAAATGTTCTATGCTTATTTCAAACTACACTGACGGTATCAAATAATGAGCAAATAGGCTATTGCTGTATGAAAAATGCATCACTTCTGTTCTTGAAGTAGCTCTAAAGAAGAGCTTAGAAACCACCTGGCTCTTTTTCAGATTTACAGTTGTGCCTCCTAAGATTATTTAAATAATGCCTTTATTCCTTCTATCCATAATGTTTTGGAGCATAGTGTGCTGCTGGCCAAAACGTTAAACTTCTAATATATGTAAATGTGAGCGACACTTTACCTGAGTGACAGGAGGAGTTCCTGAGACTTTGAGAGCCAGCCAGCCAGCCAGCACACTGCACTGCACTGCACGTGCAGATAAGGAACATTTTCTGTATTATTTGTGCGCAACAGATAGTAATTCAGTGAGGAAAATTGTTTCCAAAATTATCTACTTTTTTAAGGTTTTCCAGTATTAGTCCTTTTAATCAGCTCTATTCATGTGTTTTTTGGACTAGCCAACACTTACAAAAGGGAAAAAAAAAAAAGAAGGAAATATAAGACGTATCTAATAAAAATAATTAAAAAGCAGTAGCTTTGCATGGATCTGGACACTTACTTACCTATAAGCAAGATTACTAATGCGTCTGTAATGTAATAACCAAACAGGAAAGGCTTCTGCCAGACTTCCACCCCAACAGCACTGGTGAGCAGATATGCTGCTATTAATACCTATAGAAAAAGGATAACGTATTTTCAATCCTTTACTTCTAAAGGCACAGAATTTCGTTTATCGTCTTAATACAAATGCAAGAGTAAAAAAAAAAATCTGTTATTTTCCTCCTGTCTCCGCTTTACAGGACCTTATGCTGCCAAGGTTACTTTTGGAGTTAACTCCAAAACAGTTACTTCTAAGCAGTGAATCAGCTTCCAGGGTCACCAACAAATTATTTAAAACGTATGAAATACAGTAAGCAAGCAACTTCCCTGCTAATGCGTGCATCTGTTTGCATGTGGTAAGTACTACTGACTTACCTTTTTGAAGCACCTAATTTCTAAATCCCTTCTTAATGCCAGGTTTCCCCACTGCACATGCACTTTCTTTTATTTGCATACAGACTTCAGAATTAAGTGTGGTTATTTTTGCAGCTCAACCCCCTGAACTCATCATATCAGAATAACTGAGAGGGGAAAAAAATCTAAGCTCACCTGAAATAATAAAAAAATTCAATTGAATGTGAAGAAATAAAAAGAAGGGGAGGGAGCTGAAGTCTTCCCTGATTTTTAATTTGTTTGACAGATAACATCATTACAGGACACAAAAAGAAACACGTAGTCAAACGCCATTAAGAATGAAAGGACTGATACACGAGTCGCTTGCTGAAGTGCCACCAGTTTCAGTAGAGATGTAAATGTAGTTCCAACTCTCTCTTTAGAATTAATTTTGTGACCCAGCTGAGGTCAGAAATCTTAATGCAGTCAAAATCCTATAGCTCCTATAGCAATACCTTTCAAACCCATTGTATTACCTGTAACAGCACCGCCTACAACTTATGGTGCAAATGGATGAAGTTTTACCGTTTTAGGTGTGTAACATGCAAATGCAGTACTGAACGTGATGCAGTGGTTCCCAAGCCCTGGTGCCCTCGATCCCACCTCCTCAAGGGACCCCGCTCTCCCTTGAAACCTGTTTCCTGGCTTAGCCCAGGCCACCCACCCCCTGCAGCCCCTTCTGCTGCCGGCACCCAGCTAGCGGGACCGCTGACCCTCTCTCTAGGCTATTTCGTTCTCAGCTGTTTAGTTTTGCTATAGGACTCATAAAGGGCTGTATGTTTCAGGCTACGTCTCAACCTCCTGAACTATTCTAGACTTGGATTAAGAAGGAATTGCGAACATTTACTTTAGCTCTAAATTAAAACAACTCTGTTAATTATAATGCCATTTAGAAGACTGCGTATTCATCTATTTGTTTTCAGGTAACATTCAGTAACCCTTATATTTTCCATTCAGTTCAGCTTCTCACTCTGAGATGACAAATATTTTCCAGCTTTACCTGTATGACAGATTTTACTACTTTTTGTTTAGTTTTTTTAAATACACATTTTTTACTGTTATGTTTTTTCTTCATTTTTAACTTCAGTAAACACATTTCCAGTTTTCTATTAAATTAATTGCTTTAGTTTAAAGGTACAGTGAAAATCTCTTGTTTAGATAACAGGCTGTTTAAGATCACAGATTAGTAGCAGAACACTGATGTCACTTAAACTCCCTATTACACGTAGATATCACTATATTTGACTTCACTTACTTGTCTGTATCTAAATGCAAGATTCTTGCCCTATCAGTATGCAGCCCTTTAAGAGTTTTGCTTGAATGTGGCATTGCAGAATTGGATGTTTGAATTGCCTCTGCAAGAACAAGCAGCACAACAGATCTGCAACGGAGAAGAGCAGGCACTGGTATGAGAGTTACATCTTGGGCCATTGAAGACAGTGAGTCAAATTTTGGTCTAAATGAAGGACGCGTATAATGGGTTTTGCAACCGACTACAACAGAGCTAACATTTGGCTTTCTGAAGAAGTTGCGTTATGTTATCCGCAAGACATGATGGATGGACTCCTGGCCCCATCAAAGTTGATGGCAAAACTCCAGCTGGCTTTGATGGAGCCTGAATTTACCCTCACACGTTGAATTCTGAACAGACTTTTTTGGCAAGTGATAAAAGAGGAACTTCAGTATTATCCGTTATTACAGTCAGTACTTTTGGCAGAGCAGTCATGAGCATCGCTGTCAGATGTCAGCACACCTCCAGGAACAGGAGCGTCAATGCAACGGGCTCTCTCAGGGGAATCCCCTGCCCTGGGATTTGGTGATGCAGCACTCGCAGGTTGAGTTTGCCTCTTATTAACAAACAGATGTAGTGTATGAAAAAACACTCTTTGGCTTCAAATTTTTGGTGTGCTGTTTTTTAAGGACTTGTAACTTTGACTTCACTGAGGCAGTCTCAAAGACCTCCTTTAGAAAGCTGGAAGGATGAGAAAACGGCTGCGTCCCTTGATCTAAGCTATATTAGCAGAAACTGAAGATTGTCAAAATTATTAGACAAAAGCTAAGTACATTAATCAGCTGTATAAGCTGTTTTTAAATGCACTGCTGGTAAAAAAAAAAAATTAAAATGTAAAGCAGTGTTCCTAAGTGAATAATTCTACTTAAGAAAAGATGGCCAGGTTTTTTACTCATCTCTCTGGCATCAGTCGGCTTTAGTACTTTTCAGATATAAATGTAGTCTTTAGCAAGTAAAAATAATTGCAACCTTTTGTAAAATGAGAAGTCCAAATTAAATAACACAAGTAAGGGCGATATAGCAAGTTAGTGTCAGACTCATCCAATCTTGGATTCCAACTCACTGCAGCATCTGACCAGGAAAATTTTTGGCTTGCCAAGGCCTTATCTATGAGGAGGAGGAGTACTTATGCAGACAAAGATCTGGAAATATATGGTGTTAATTTGTAGGCCCTTTGATATGGCTGAACAGCAGGACAGCTGGCTTCTGAGCAGTGGCTCCCTATCTTGTCACAATTTTATAAATCACAGCAACAGTCACCTTCGTCCCTCTGTAAAATCAGAATATTACTTCTTTAATGTGGCATTGAGAAAATTCTATGTAACCATGAGGCAGTGTAACTCCTCAAAACCTCCTAGCTTCTAGCATTTTAACTGTTCTCTAAAGTATTTGATTTTTTAAAATCACCATCTCTTTCATGTCTTTCCACTACTGCAGGTGTAAGTTTTGTGACCAAAATATTCTAGATTGTGTGTGTGTGCGCATACATTTTTTTTCTCCCTAATGATTTACCATTTCTGTTTTACACACAGGCACATTGAGTATGCTGTATATGTACTACATGGGGAAAAAAAAAATCAATCATTTTCTCATCTTTTTGAAAAAATATACTGGCTATGCTTTTAAATTCTTTATGATTCCACAAAAAAATGACATTATTTTTACTGTAATATTCAATTTCACTAGCATATTCCAATAGCATTAATTGTTCATGTGTTGAAATATTTTCCATTAACACAGTGCTCAAACTGAACATCTGGAGAGCAAAGTCATTTAAAATACAAGGTCACTTTTTTCCTCTGAAAATAAATGTGACACTTGCCTAAAAAAGGAAGAACTAATGATTTCCTACAAGTGATTTCAATAGGAGGTAGCTTTAGCGTGATGTGTAATTTTTCCATTTTATTTTTTTTCTCAGTATTTTTTCTTTCAATAAATCGTTAAAGGTTGCAAATTTAGCCTATAAAAATAGGTTTTTACATGCCTTAAAAAGGTAATTTTGCATTTAGACATGCAGTATGTGATAGGTAAACAGCTAAAGGCACGTGGAAGATTAATTAACCAAGAAAGGTTTGAGTAGAATCATAATCGAGTGGTTAAGAATGAAGCAATCTGCTGCAGCGAGAGCCTGTGCACCGCAGGTCCTTAGCTGTTTAAATTTCACATGGCTACACCATGGGGTTTCCCTCAGATAACCGAGTACTGAGCTGGGTTTCCAGCTGTGTCAGGAGGCAGCTGGAAGCAGACACCATGGCCTGGCCAGCACTGCTTCCACACCGCTATCGGTTCTTTTACTTCAACAATTCCAGTGCGCTCCTACCTTTGGAACTAAATAATAATCAATATTATTCCTTCACAAGAAAGGCTATGCTTTCCACAGACGCTTCAAATTAGAAAAACTCTGAAAGTGAATATCTTTTTAATTAAATTTAAAAAGATTCTGAATCCTGAAAACGTGACCAAAGAACGACACATTTGCATCTTCATTTTTCTTTTTAATAGAGACTCTTTTTTTGCCCCTCAGAAGAGAGAGAAGTTTTTAAAAGATGTGATGTGCACTTGCATTGCTCGGGATTTCTCTTCCAGTTCCTGAAACACTGGCTGCCACAGTACTTCCCGGGAAAAGGTCATATGAAACATATTTCAGCATGCGTTTTGTAAACCGCTTGTCAAAAGAAATCTTGGTATATGGCATCCAAAAAACCCCTTCTCCTGTTTTGGCTGAAAGGAAGGAGAAAAGTAAGTTCTACAATGTTTCAGTTGCTACCTCCATCGTATAGTTCATTTACTCAGAGTTTCAAGGCAGGCAGAGTGTTCTCCCTGAGAGTCTAGGTGGGACCGTCCAAAGCCATCGGGCAGAACCAGCTGGGAAAGCATCTCAAACCAAAAACCTGGGGCTTATGCTCCAAGCATCCACGCCTTCAGGCATGACTGTATATAGGATTTCTGGTCATCCCCTCCTTACAGGGCTAGGGCAGGGCCAGAGGGAGCTGCCTGTTGCCTTTCACATTTGCTGCTTGTGCTTTTGTGCTTTTTTCCCGCTTGCCCTCTTGGCTGGGGAGAGTGAGGGGAAGGAGAATGGAATCGGCTGGGTCACTCCATCTCTCACGCAGCTCTTATTTTCACTTTTAAACTTTTATTTAAAAATATAAAGGGTACCTCCCTGTTACGCTTAAGGCAGCATCGATGTAAGCACTACATCATATTAAGGAAAAATGAACATTTTGTTCCCCTACTATGAACTCAACTGCAGTAGCTTATGAAAAGCAACAGCAGGACTAGGGGAGTGCTTCATTAGGGGAGTATTAAAATTTTCAGGAGAAAAATTGATTTTTAAACAATCCAGTCTGTGAAAATTAACACATGGCAGGAAGCCTTCCTCAGGAAAGCTTTGTCTTTTTTTTTTTCTCCAAGAAACTTAATTTGCAGGCATTAGCTTTCTTTGGTTGGGCTTGTGACAAGATGTATCCAAGAACATAGCAAGGGTTTCTTGTTCAGTCTTCTCTTCAGCCCATGACTTTTGGGGGTTTGTGCTTACTTGAAAGTGCATGAAAATTGTCTAGATGGTACAGTGTGAAAAGGCTCCTCTCCCTGCATCTTTTTCTGCCCGCAGAGGAGTCAGCAGAAGATAGCTCCTTGTGCTGGAGGGAGGATGGGGGAAGAGTTTTCACTGTTGCAGATGCCTCCTCCTTGACTCTGGATCCACAAACGTAACAGCCCTCTGACCACGCATCTCTCAGACACATTACAGCCATTTTTCAAGTTTACACACCACAGCTCCTATAAATGGCTGTCTGCTGTAATCAAAGCTAACTGGAGTGCCAATTACAGCCCAGCTAGTGCAATTAGGTTACCAGTTCTGACGAGTCATCAAGTCGCAGAAAAATGTGATCTGCACAAGTCCCAAAATTTCTCTATTTATAATGGGGTATTTTTTCATGAGGAACAGTAGCTCTTTTTATACCACAGTTAACACAGAGCCAGTGAGCGGGCTGTCTGTGTTTATACACAGTGGAGCTGACTCAGCAGTAGTGTCCTGGGAGCTACATGCCAGTTCAGCTTTCATTAAGGTCAACAGTTATCTGTTTGCACACTTACACTAATTACTGTATTTCCTGAGCTTTCTGGCGATAACAAAGCCCAAAGTTCCTGGCTACCATAAATTTTAAAAGCAGAAGCAGGGCACTAGACCACCTGAATGTCTGACATGCCAATGCAATAGCATCATGTTGTCGGTGAAATTACTGAAGACAGAGCAGAGAAGCGCATTCGCGCAGCAATTCAGCTAGGAACGCCACAGAGGAAACAGTGAACTAAATGCTGGGAATTAGTCTGAAAGCAGCCTGCGAGTGCTTCCGCCCTCTCTGCCGCTGAATGTGACTGCGGGAATATCTGGCAGAGAAGTGGGGGGGGAAAAACCAGCAAGGGAAACATTACCTTCCATACTCATCATCAGCCATTTGCTAATGTCCTCAGTATCCTCTCCTCCAAGTAGCTGGAGATGAAGAGCTACCTTTAATAGTGCACACATCATACAAAATTGTTGAATGGGTTTACAAAACAAGAGCAAGGCAATGTTTGTAGGGGAATTAAGACCTTTTACTAGACTAATTAGTACAACTAGAAAAAAATACGTTATGTACTTTCTGGTGTGCGTGAAACGTAGTTTGGACAAATGGAAAAAATATTACCTTGATCTACAAATCCTGTCTTATCTTTGTTCATAAGCAATCACAACTACAAAAGCAAATTTTTACAGATGGGAAAACTGACCTACAGACATTTCAAGAGCACAGTCTTCCACCACTGTTGATGATTGCGCTGTATAGCATCAAAAATATCTTTACATTTATATGTTTATCATTTTGACTGTAGGCAAATCATCACAGAAGTTACTAGAAAGAGAGCATGCAGGACAGCAATTCAGCATCAGAGGGGAACAGGAAATAGCACTTGTTAGCACCTTGCATCCAAGTTAATCAAAGCAGTTTACAGACTTTACTGAAATTCAGCCTCACCACAAATCTGTCAGGCAGGGAAATGTTATTACCATTATTTCCCAGATGGGAAAGCAGTGACAGAGGCATAGGTCACTAAAAGGCACTGACAGAGTTAACAGTACTGCTCCGCTAGTACGCTAACAGTACTACTACGCTAGTTGTACCCCACTCCCATATTTAACCACTAATACAGTTTGGATGCTGCAGCAACCCGAAAGAGCTTTCTAAACATTCACGTGTATATCTACAGTAATCATCTGAGCAACAAGTGAAATTGGTTTGAACATAGCTATTCCTCTCCTGCTGGAAGAACTTCACTAAGAAGCCTTACACAGACATGGCTGAAACTTGTAGACCAGCTGGCTGCCTAATGTCTTAGTCCTGAGCCAACTTCTTCTCCCAGACCTATTTTCTAGGGGACAAAACAGATGCACCACAGCTGGACCACCATCTCCGAGTTGTTCTCAAACCACTGGATTCTGATTATGTTTACAGCAATACATCTGCAGCCGTTAATTCAAATACTATATTTCCATTAAAACACATATTTGAATATTTGTAAAACTTCTTTCCAATTATGTATATTTGGCTGTACCTTTCATCTCATGCCTGTGACAGGAAGCTCAGAAGACTGGGACTGGTCTCTTCAGGCTGCAAGAGCCTGGCTGTCTAAGAAATAGATAAGCCAGCCCAGAAATCCCAGCACTGGGCCCTTGGCAGCGCAATGAGCTTGTTACTACTACTGCTGCTACTCATTTGTGCACTGAGGCCACCACTCCCCGTGGTGCCCTGGGCATGTTTCTGAAGAGGTCCACCTCAAGGTAGGGCTGTAAGCCGGTCAAGAACTCAGCTGGGGACTGGCTATGGGCTGATACGGAATTCATGTTACTGAATGCCATTCCCGGAGAAGAAACCTTTAACGGTATGGCTTTGACTTTTTTTCAAGGGTAAAACTCACTTGACACTGACAACAGTTAACGCTCGCTGTATAGGTACAATGCTATTTCCATTACCACATTCGATGTCAGAGGTGGTAGAATTGGGAAGGTCTAGTATTGTATAACTGTATAATTACTGTTAATAAATACTACTTGGACTAGTTCACATTGTGCCTCAGAACCTAGTGTTGGTGGGAAAATTGCTTATGGCTTCAGATGGCATAATAATTTTTGTTAATACTACAAATCAAATGCAGTTAAATTACGTTCTCATGGGCACTATCTGACTGCTAGGCTTGCTGCAAGCCTTTTTTTTCCTGCAAGGCAATGAATCTCTGATACTGACAATTTGCTCAAGAGCGTCCCTTCTTTGCAAATGCAGGAAATATTTCTGAATTACTTTTAAAGTCATGCTATTTCACATTCAAAATCTTGGCCAAATACATTTGGCCTTGAGCTCTATTTTTCTATTTCTGTAATATTATGAAAACACTAACATAGTTAAAAAAATAAAACCAAAACACGAATGATAAATACTTACCACTTGGCTTATATCGTATCCCCAAGGAAGAAAAAGAACTCCTGTGTTATATTTCTCCCAGTGTGAACACATAAAGTTAAACAAGACAATGCTTAAATATATATACATTGTATATACAGAAACTCCAGTCTTCCCATTGTCACGGGAACAGACAGAAAAAAAAGAAAGCACAAAAATGGAGGTAGCCCAGCTATCCAGCCCATGGTCAAATAATTCTCCCAGAGGACTACTGGACTGAGTCCTTCGAGCGTGTTTCCCATCTATGGAGTCTAGAAGGATTGGGAAAGGAAAAGAAATAAAGAATTAGAGTACAACGAAAGGAGTCACTTTCTTCATATACACTTCACTACCGCCTATATAACATATGGGAAAAATACACCGATGACAGCAAACTGAAGCACAACAGTCCCTTCAATACCAACATGTTAGGATGGCTCATAAAATATTCGCTTCAGTTATCAAGTAATTTTTCTGTCCTTACCTCAGCTCTTAAACTAAATGCCACCTTCCTTCGAAGCTTCAGAAAGACATTCATAATTACTTGTCCTGAGTGGTCTTTAAACACTTTTATATCAGTCCCTGCAACCGGTTTCTCAATGAAAGTGCTGAAAAGTGTCCACAGGGCTTCTCGCCCGTCCATTGGTGTTATGGACCCTTTGAGACTTCAGACCGCTTGAGGGGTAGATTCACTAAGGCATTTAGGTTGCCTGATGTTAAACGCTTCAATGACTAACAGTTATGTGGCAGCCTCAAGGAGCAAATTTCACAAAATTTATTTGTGTGTGCCTACATAAGATATTTTAAAGAGTCTTTCAGTTGAAATCTTAGGATACAAGAGTCAACAGTGTTCCCAGGTGGCCAAGAAGGCCAATGGCATCCTGGCTTGTATCAGAAACAGTGTGGCCAGCAGGAGTAGGGAAGTGATCGTGCCCCTGTACTTGGCACTGATGAGGCTGCACCTCGAATACTGTGTTCAGTTTTGGGCCCCTCACTACAAGAAGGACATTGAGGTGCTGGAGCGTGTCCAGAGA